ATGCTTCAGGAATTCTGGTGATGAAGCATCAAAATGCTCCACAACAAGTAGCAGAGAGACTGAACAACTAGCTGGATGTGGTAGGAGTTTCATGAGATCCTGGCTAGCTATCCCACCTGTGATAGGAAAATCATGTCCTGCTGCCAGTCATCTAAAGGTGAGGGGTGAAGCTCATCCTTCTAAAAGTAGATGTTGCAAATTGCTGGATGATTGTCCAAGTGGGACAAACGTATGGTACAGAAGGGCACCTACTGGACTGTGCTGTCTCAAACCCTGTTGGTGATGCTCTTGTCCCTTCTATCACTAAGCCATTTTTAGTGCTTGTTTGGCCATTTGTAACATCAGGCTGTTTTCCCAAGGTAGATGGGGCAACCTGAAGACACAGGGGCTGCGGTTCAACAGTGGGGGGGTTCCTGCTGTAGCACTTTATACCCAGCCTCTCGTTTCTGACTTTGCCTGGCAAGGCAGTTTTTGCTCGGTTTTGCTGACGCTGTTATTTGTGGAGCTGTGCTGTAACCATCACACTGATCCAGGTTAAAATTACTCTTTCAAAACAACTGTGATCTGAGTCCACAAACGGTTTTGTCAGCATCACCAAGGGTTAACATGCTTTTCCCAGGCCTAGGTACAGGAACAAGGACAGAAAGTGTAACGGCAGTTTATTGATGATGAAAACACCATGCACATATCATGTAGAAACAAAATCACTAAGGCAGGCAAAAGGTACACCTAACTGAAATTCGCCATCGCAGAAGTTAACTCTGCTTTCTCAAGTATGTCAGTAGCAGAGAAATGTAAAGTAATTTTTTTTGTGTGTATATAGTGGAGAACAAAAACTCTCAACAGCTAATACTGCTGTTGTAGTTTGGCAAGTGTGTTTTTTCCCTCTGGCAGTAGTCTGTTCTCATCAGGGGCTCACCCAAAGCTTTGCTGGCAAAGGTAGCAAAGCTGGCGACCCAGTTAGCCAGACCTAGGATTCAAACCGAGTTAACTAGTACCTCTTTTTGGGGAGGAGCAAGGGCCATGGGCAGGTGCTGGAGATACTTTATGGTCACAGTTCCCTAGTACAGCTCCCTGTGTGTACCACACAAGTACAGTTAGGGCATCCAGGGCAGGGCAGAAATATGTGGGACATGGAGGATCTACCACCAGACTAAATATTCGATGAACTGCCTTCACAGGAAGTCAGTGTTAAATGTCTTTTTGCACTTCTTGGGTTTAGTAATGTGCTTGACACAAGCTTGCCTGATGTTTTTGTAAGCAAGCTGGGACAATTTGAAGCGGCACGTGCAACTGGTGAGAAAACGGTGTGAATTGAGGTTGGAGCATGGCTGGCTAGGTAGCAGTTCTGCAGAAGAGGATTGGAGACCTTTCATGATCTGTGAGCCAAGCGCAAGTGAATATGTTATGCATTTTATGTATACAAAAAAAGGCAAACTGATTGGGACATATACACCCAAGAAGTGTTATTTAAGACTCATTTAGCTCTGTAAAAGCTGGTGTAGCTTAGGCTGGAATATCTACCCAATGGAGATCAAATGGAAGGAGTCCAAAAAAGAGTAAACAAGCAAAGGCCTGGGAAATATTATCTATAAGGGAAGGTTAAAACTACTGGTTTGGTCATTTTATATAACAGAAGACTGTAGGAAAAACAAATTTTTCAAATATATAGGCATAGATGCAAAGAGGAATAGAATAAATTGTTTGCAATGACTGCAGGTAAGGCAGGGCATAATGAGTAGAAATTGTAGGAAGGGAAGTGTAACTTAGACATCAGAAAGGTTTTTAATTAGAGCATCTGAACACTGGGATAATTTCTCTGCAACAATATTGCATTTTTTCATGAGAGGTCTTCAAGAACAGGTTAGACTAAGTACTCTAAGGAATAGTTTAGTATATTTTATCCAGCCTCAGCACTCAGAAAGCATTAGATGAGTGGGCTTTCTTCGTTGCTAGTTTCTGTGGCTATATCTGCTGTTTCAGATACCAGGGGCTGTGAATCCTGTGTTGGTGGACAGAAGTGCTATCCCATGTCTACCTGGTTACCACTGCCTCAGCCCCACCAGCTGAGCTGCTCGTTTGCATACATCGTGAGAATGAGCCAGAGTAGCTGATATGGCTGAGAACAGCAGCGCATTGTCAGTATGGGTAATTTTGAGTGGGATGGATAAAGCAGCACTCAGGTGAGCAAGCCAGAAGGGTAGAGGGGGCAGGAATAGTTTTGCAGGGATCAGTGCCAAGGGGCTGGGAAGGGCAGTAGTAGGAGCTGGAAAAGGTGCATATCTGCATTATGGGACTCCTATGGAGCTTACCCAGAGTCTTACTGCTCCAGAGTTCTTCATAGAATTTGTTTTTTTCCCATTTGCTATAGTAAAGTTAACAGAGTTGCTCCACAGCTCTGGGCTGTGTAGTCCTTTCAAAGCCAGAAAAATGTGCAAGGCTTTATTGACTTTGAATGGAGTATGATTTTACAATAGACACCCTCTTCTGACATGTCAGCCCCGTCCTGGACTGCTGAGGGAAGCACTGAAGGATTTGTGCCCTCTTGACATTTTCGGAGGTCGAATATGAAGTCCTCTGTCATGTTGCCAGAGCAGAGAGCTACAACTCAGAGCTTGATTCCAAAGGACTAATCTTGAGAGACTGAAATTGTTCTTTACAAGATTCTTCCTGTAGGAGTTTTGCATTACTTACTATTTAATGTGTATGTGTTTGAGGGGAGAGTTTTTCTTTTTTATCGCTCAGGGATTCTTTTCTTCTTGCTTTGTTCTTCTGTGTGCAAGAGTGTTCTCAGACTATTTGTGACATCAGCTGAACTCCTGCACTTGGCTTTCCTGACCATTTGCTATGGTCAGGGAAATGTCACTTAAAGTTCATGTGCTGCCTCTTACTGACGGCAGAGGTAGGCAGGAAGAGGACAGTAAAGAATTACTGCCGTGCCTGCACATTCCGGTGGCAGAGAGCTTTTGAAGACTCAAGAAGAAGCTTGCTTCGCTTGTCTCCAGGGTAGATTTTTATACCAGTTTATGTATCATATGGAATCTTTGCCCAAGTGTACTTGAACTTTTGTTTCACTTTTCTGTGATGCACATGCAATGAAAGAAATACATGTTTAAGTTCAAGGGCGTGCATATTCACTTGCAGTTCATGCGACTTGAAAAGAGTATTTCCTAATATTATTTGTCAGTTGCTCCTAATTGAAGTGTGATGGTTGGACTCCCCAGGGGTTGATGTCCCAGCTAGCCAGTGAAGTTTTTTTCTATTATTTTTGTGGCTATTGCAAAACCATTTCTCTACCCTTACTTTGGTTTATCCCAAAGTGCAATCAGCGTGCTCCCATTTCACAGTTTGAATAACTTTCTCTGGTGATTTCTCTCAGATTGTATGAAACTATCTTTAATCTGAATGGGAACTGTTTGCCTCATCATTGTAGGGATCTGTATACTCATTCACTATGGTTAGTTTTCAATTATTGTTAATTTATTCTACAATAAATTCAATTTTATTGTCTGAATCCCATCTATGCCCTGGTTTGTTCAAAATTCCTGGCATGTGGACTAAATTCTACCTTTTACCTCATTGATATCAACTTACAGGGACTCTGTCTATATTTAACAGAACGTGTGTCTGTCTTAACGCTTTGTCTTTGGCTACTCCGTTTTAGTCTGTAGGAAAGAGGTTAGAAACCTACACATGCATTCGAAATAGTTTCTTACATTGTATTTATGCAAGGGTTTTTATTTTTCAATAGTCTTTTGAGATTCCATTATGAAGTTACATTTGAGAAATATTTAATCATTGGTCTTAAGTGAAAAATAATACAAGTAGACTATGTTTCATAGGACCTAGATGCAATACTTTGGAGTTTCTAACTGTTACATTTCCATCTTCAGAAGGCTTGCAACTTACCTTTAAAGTTGAAGCTGTTTTAAACTTTGCTGTTTAGCTTGATGGTAATTTAGAAACTTCACCAGGCAGTTTTAAATATGAGTATTTCAGAAATATGAAAAGAAATTATAACGTTCCCTTCAGCTAGTTCTGAATACAAGCCACAATGTGATTGTTTTAAAAAATAAGCTACTTTGGGGACTCGGGAAAACCGTGAGGAGCTAATGACAATTAACCACAGCTGAGTTAGAATTAATGTCACCCTCTTTCTCCAGTTTTACTGTGGGACGTGAGCTTTGTGTGCTCCAGAGGAGCCAGGCAGAGTGAGAGATTCCTCCAGGGTTAGTACGGTCCTGGACAGCAGAGGATCCGTTTCTTAAAACATGATCCGTTTTGGCTCTGGTTTTATACTGGGCCCGAGGGGGCGAGGAGGTCTGTTATATGGAGAGCTGCTGTTAATTCCTCAAGTCTTGATTTTCTGTCAACAGACAGATATACTTTCCTGTCCAAGTATTCCTGTTCTCACGATAGCTTTTCCTATATGGAACAATATATATGTCCTGTGGACCTGCAGAATTTGCAACCAGCCCTTCCATGTACACAAAACACAGGTGCAGATTAAGGAAAGACTTGTAGCTTCCTTTGACATTAGAAGGTAGTAAAGAGGATTTACAGTTCATTAGGATCCTCCTCCATCCTTCCAACCCTTTCATGTATCTCTTCAATGTTTCAGTGCCATTCCCTTACTTAAGGGTCCTGGATATCTTACTCTATGTTGAAGCTTGTAAAAGGCATTTATTGGGGGGCTGGATTTGACTCATATTCTTGGACCCAACTTTCTGAACAGTGATTAGTTCAACTAGAAGTGTAGCGCGTATTACCTTCTTCAGTAGCCCACAAAAGTCCAGGTCAGTTCCTGTAGCTCCTGTGCTGTCAAACAGAGTACGTTAAGTCACATCGCTTTATACCAGCTGAAGATCTGGTCCAGTGTGTTGAAAGATGCAGGAGGCAGTTGCTGCGGTGTATTTGTTAACTTAGTTGGCCTGGAAGGACGTGCGGTGAGAGAACTTCCATCATTCTAATTCATTCTCTGAATGTTTTTCTCTCAACAGCTCTGAAAAGTCCAGCTGCATTTCATGAACAAAGAAGGAGTTTGGAGCGGGCCAGGGTAAGATGCAATGTGCTCTTTAATGTTTTAGGGAAGTCAGGAGCATGTCTTGTGTTTTGGGGATCCTGTATCTGTTAATGAGATGCAGAAGGAAATCGTTCATATTCTGGATGTAACACAATGCTATGCAGTCAGAGGTGTATTGGATGGGGTGTTCTTTAGCTTGTATGTGGTGGTGGTTAACCCTCAGTCAACCAGATGTGCCTAAAACCCAATGAATATGGTGCCTGGATTTCCTCTGAAGTCTTCTTTCTAGAAGTCACTGATATTCTTCCTCACTGTCCATATACTTCACATTTTTATGGTGTCAGTTTTGCCCTTAAATACCCCTGTCGTGTGGAGCCAGTTCCACCTTTGAGGAAAGTGTATGGTTCCCTGTTACCTGCACGTGCACTTCTTTATCTAGAACATTAGAAATTGAAAATTTAATAGAGAGGATCCCCTACAAAATCTTGTAACACTGAAATCACGCAAACTTCTGGCTCTGTAGAAAGAGGAAGCCAGACGTCACACTTCACGTGGCACCTTTGCTAACTGGGGGGTTTCTTGATGATTTCTGTTCCTCAAAAGGCCTCTGGGGATAGCTATTTTTCTGACTAGCATGCAGAGGAATAAAACCTGTTATGACTGCTGGGCTAAGTTTTGTTTTAAAAGTGAAAGCAACATAAGTAAAAAAATAACAGCTGTTATTTTTATATGTATTTTATTTATATTTTAAAATAACAGCTGTTATTTAACAGCAAGGCAGTGTTAGCACTTTAAACTCTGTGGAAGGATTGGAATGGTGGACTTTGCATTAAGACCAGTGTCCCAACAGCTTTTGCTTTTTCCTCCTCTTATTTCCTACAACCTTCTTATTAAGTTAATATTTTGGTGTGGTCAATTGAGCAAGTATGGTGCAAGTTTTGAGCAAGTTTTCTGATTGACTTTAATATTTATTTCTCTGAAGGCCCATTCTGATGGCCAGTACTTACCAGTCTGTTACCCACCGCTCCCAGGTTTCGATTTCTGGGGTGTGCGAAGGGTGACGTGCTCAGTCTGGACAGGGTCATCTCTGTCCATTGCTCTGCAGTTCATTCTCCAAAGACGGAGCTGAAAGCAGTTCTGGAAATTAAATGGGTCTTTTTGCAGCATTAGATTCTGCCTGCCAAGGGAGTGCATGGGGTCTTTAGCTTAACAAGTAACATATCTTTAAACAAATAAGAGAATGCCCAAACCACAAGTCAGCCCTGAATGTCAGCAGTATACGAAAGTATTTGCTGTGAACAATGGAACCAGGGCATATACCTTTAATGTAAAAATAAATGTCTTGAATTTCACCCTGACACAAGTTAATGGTGTTGGATAAAAGGGGAAAAGAGGGCTTCAGCTTTTGAGGAAGTCCTTCCCAGTTTCTGTTTTGCAGGACAGCAGTGCACCCTTATACTGAAGTGCTGTACAGTAGAAGGTCATCTTTAGAATAAACTCATTCTCTGGGTGCTCTGGGACAGAAGATATGTCCCTCCTCTGTTCTGTGTTTATTTAGATCTTAGTAACAACTAAAGATGGTTGATTCTCTTTTTTGTGCTGTCCAAGATTACCTCACTCCTGTGTCTGATCAACTGAAATTGGTTCTTGCTTGTCTGTTTGTGCTGCAGACAGAGGACTATCTGAAACGGAAGATCCGGTCCCGGCCAGAGAGATCAGAGCTGGTTAGGATGCACATTCTGGAAGGTATGGCACGTGCTACACAGGAAAACATCAACAATAAACTTAATGTAACTACTTACTTAGCTGCTTTCTATTTTGCCTCTGGCCCCAAGTTTTTCTTTCAGTTAGAAGCATGCAAAAGATCATGCATGTTGGAGGATTTCTTGGAGGGATTCAGCTCTGCTTGCATGGAGATTCTCAGGAGAATCTGTTATGTGAATTCAAAAGTGTGCAGTTTTGTGAGCAACAATGAAATGGAATGACTGTGATTGCTCTTCTACTAAGGGAAGACTGTATCCAAGGAGTGAGGGAGATTTGAATTAATAAGTAAGCACCTCAGAGAGGGAGTGCTATGTGGCTGCTGAGTGCCACATCTTTGGACATAACTGAAAGGGAAAAGATGAACAAGAATTGGGTGACATCAGTTTGAGAACAGTAAATTTTACCTAATCTAGAGTCACAAGGACTACTGTAGTTACCTTTATAACATAACTACACATAATGTCTGTAATATCTTCACAGTGCATAGTTATCTATTGTTATCTGCAACTATTTTCCTCTACAGTTATCTGCTGTTATCTGCAGTTACCTTTCTGAACAGAAGTAAAGTACTGCTGAAGTGCATAGGTTGACCATTGCTGGATTGATGCCATTTTATTTACTCTCCCCTGAACAGAGACCTCAGCTGAACCCTCCTTGCAGGCAAAGCAGCTGAAGCTAAAGAGAGCCAGACTGGCAGATGACCTCAATGAGAAGATAGCGCAGAGGCCAGGTCCCATGGAGCTGGTAGAGAAGAACATCTTGCCTGTGGAATCGAGCCTGAAGGAAGCCATTATAGGTATGTCCAGAGGAGGGTCTGTGTTGAGGGCATTTCCCACAGGTGGCTGTGGTTTGTTGTCAGTTCTCCTGCCTGTCTAGGGGAACGCAGTCCCATCGTTGGTCTTGTTTCCCTGTCTCAGAATCACAGCCGTTCATCCCCAAGGATTCTAAAAAGCAGGACTCCCTCTGGCCCAGATAGACAATAAATTATAGGGAGTGTGGACATCCCAGAATAACGTGAAAAGCAATTGCGTACCCTAAAGACTTGAAAGACTGTTGAAGATTGCATTCCTTAGATTCTCTCCTTAAAAATCCCTCTCTCATTATAACATGTCAGCAACCTTGGCCAGGGAGAACCCCCTGACTTAGATCGGGGAGAGGAGACAGAATATAAACAGGTGGGATGAAACAAAAGCTGTCTGTGAACTTAAAAACTTCAGACGATTCAACTCCTTTAAAAATAAACTAGAACAGATGTAAATCATGCCAGTGCCATTCCAAGGGCTGAAAGGAATGCTGAGGAATAGCCTTCCCACTGCCTCAGCAGAGCTTTTGCCCGTCTCCCCAGACTGAGCGGTCTGTGTGCGTCTGTGGTTATTCATCCCCTCAAACACGCACCGCTACTTTAAAGACAAATGGGACACAACTGTGAGCAAGATGGAATATTTTTCATGAAAAAGGAAAAGGACAGTGTCGGGGGAGAGCCTGCCTTCACTATTGCACAAGATGTGGTTGAGGAAGAGAAAAAATGAACTTGTGAACTGGAGAGCATTAGGGATGTGGCTTCCTTCTGGCTTTGACATCTCTCTGGATTTCTGCTGCTTTTATGTTAGGTGCAAATGATAGCATTTTCCTGCTTACCAAGGTTAGTTTGAGATAATGTAATCTAAACAACATTGGTTCGTTACCGAGGTACACTCAAGTGAACTTATCTACTGGACATGTAGATAGGAATGCTACTAGCATTGACTGTCACCGCTTAATCTATAGTCCTTGTTGCTTATAAGACTAGAGGACAATTTGGGATTCTGTCTTGAAGAGGGATTCTACCTTCCACCACATAGGATGAACACCCAAGAAACTGTGACTCAACCTTGCACTGTCTTCTTTGGTGCCAAATGATAATCAAAACAAGCCGGGCCACAGATCTGGGTTTGGGCAGAGTTAAGTAGCTCTTGTTATACTTCCTGATCTTGTCTGGCAAAAAGCAAGGGAAATGGTTCACCCCAGTCTGCCTCATTTTATGCTACTGATAGCAGTGATGAATGTAAACACTCAAAACTGATCCAGTTTGGGCTCTGTTCTCTCACCAGCTCAGACCTAACTCTCTCCATGCCTTCGTTATCTTTGTGAAACATCTAGTGTCAAGTCAAATAATTTCTTAGTCCACCTTAAAGACCACAATTGATGTTTGTGTTTCTAGTTGGACAGGTGAACTACCCAAAGGTTGCAGACAATTCCTCCTTTGATGAGGACAGCAGTGATGCCCTCTCCCCAGAGCAGCCAGCCAGCCATGAGTCCCAGGGGTCTGTCCCATCACCGATGGACTCCCGGATTTGTGAGCCTCTCCCTAGCACCACTGGCACGTCACTAGCTCAGGTGAGAATGTGGTGGCCTCCTGCAGTGCCCTAGAGCTCCACAGCTACTGTTGATTTGTGGCGGAGGATCCTAAAAAGTGAGACTGAGGGATCCTTAAAAGGTATAGTCTGTGAGATTTCACAAGGGGTCTTAGCTCTGCGTGTTGTTGGTTAAGTCCTCTGTTTATTCAGAAGCTGGTGCCACATGGGGAAGGGGGGCAGTCATGCCTTGGTGATACCGCCTGTGTTGGTGCACGACTGATTCTGGCAGGCAAAGCTGGGAGACACAGGTGTGGGATTTTGATTCCTTTTCTGCCCTAGGAAGTTGTGCTGCTTCTCAGGGACAACTGAAGCAGTGGGTTAAAGGAGTCTAATTCATGACTTGAAACCTCTACTGCTTCCCTGTAAGCGGACACGTCCTGCACTCTCTTAAACTGTTTCCCTCCTGGTATGTATATTCATGATGCCATTTTCTGTCCCTGCAGGGTACATCCCAATTGCAGATCAGCGCAGACTCCAGTGAAACACTTTTCCTACCCGAACAGCCACCCCCGCCTCTGCCACCTCCGCCTCTTCTGCCTCCCAGTCTTACCAATGGAGCGGCTCTTACTGCTGCCAAGCCCCCACCAACGCTCATCAAGGTACTATTTTGGCTGGTTTCTTCATTGTTGTGGTCTGAAGGAAGATAAGATGGTTACTCTGAAGAAGGCTTGGAGCTGGAAATATTGTGTTAACAGATGCAGAGGAAGGAAAGCTTATTTCTCACTAGTGTCTTCCTCTGACGCTAGTTGTAACGTATTTAATAGGTTTTTCTGTTCCATGATGTATTCACCTTCTGTAAAATGGGTCCTGAATGCAAAATGTTTTGAAACAATCAACATTCTCCATAACTAGAGCCAGTGTGTCTGTGCTGGATGAGCAAGTGGTCTGGTGTGCTAATAATGGAAGGATGACCTGCGTTATGGTGCAGTGTGAGCTGCTGTGGGTGCTGTGACTGTGCTGCTGCCTGAGTTAGAGAACCATGGAAAGGCCCTGAGGTCAAATCTGGAGAATTTTGAAAAGAAAATTCCTGTACGTGTTCTCGTTTACATGGGGTGTTATTTCAATGTTTTCATTCTTATTCGCTTCCTCCTTTTCTTTTACATAGCAAAGCCAGCCCAAGTCTGCTAGTGAAAAATCTCAGCGCAGTAAAAAAGCCAAGGAGTTGAAGCCGAAAGTCAAGAAGCTTAAATATCATCAGTATATTCCTCCGGACCAAAAGCAGGACAAGGGAGCTCCTCCCATGGATTCATCCTATGCCAAAATACTGCAGCAGCAGCAGCTCTTTCTCCAGCTTCAGATCCTCAGCCAGCAGCAGCAGCAGCACTACAACTATCAGACCATCCTGCCAGCTCCACCAAAGTATGTCTCCTAAGTGGCAGCTCTCTCTTAGGTAGCACTCGCTTCCCCAGAACCGTTATTAGAGACATTGTCTTCTGGGTGTGAGATGTTGCAGTTGGATGTAACACACTCAATTCTGAGGAGTGGCTGAGGGAGCTGAGGTTGTTCAGCCTGCAGAAAAGGCTCGCTACAACTACCTGAAATGAGGTTGAGGTGAGGGGAGGCTGGTCTCGTCTCCCAAGGAGCAAGCAATAAGACAAGAGGAAACAGCCTCAAGTTGCACCAGGGGAAGTTTAGATTGGATATTAGGAAATATTTCTCCACCAAAAAGATTGTCAAGCGTTGGAACAGGCTGCCCAGGGAACTGGTGGAGTCGCCGTCCCTGGAGATGCTTAAAAGATGGGTAGATGTGATGCTAAGGCACATGGTTTAGTGGTGGTTTCTGTCAGTGTTAGGTTGATGGTTGGACTTGATGATCTGAAAGGTCCCTTCCAACCTAGTCTGTTCTATGATTCTGTAAGTTACAGTGAGCCACAAAAAGGGCCGGTGCCAGATGAATCAGACCAAAGCAGCTGAAGTGAGTTGGTTGGCAGGGTAAGGAGCATGGATCTAGTCAAAGACACTGGCGTGCTTTAGTGTCTAGAGTGACAGTAGCGACCCAGATGTTTGTGAATGTGATTGTTGACACTGAGGGTCTCCGCTGCCTTTCCACCTTGGTTTTGATGCCCGTGTTTTTCCTTTCCCTGCAGGCCTCCCGGCGAGCAGCAGAGCGGTGCCAGTGCCCCTGCCGTGCGCAATCTCTCTGCCACGGTCAGCAGCGCAGCCTCAGCATCCTCAGGTTCCAGCGGGCTCATGCGACAGAACAGTAACGCTGCAGTGGGCAAGCCTGGCCCTCTCCCTGCCAACCTAGATGAGATGAAGGTAAATGTCCTGTGAAGCTGCACAGCCCCTTTTGCCATTTTTGGTGGAGAGGGCAGTACTGAACGGTGGTGCTGCCCCGGAGCAAGGCTGAGGTGGACTGTCAGGAGTTAGTCATAACAGCTGGCATTGCTACCCTGCAGTCTGTACCTGAGGGACAGGTCTGTTGGCCTGGAGGAGGGTCAGTTTAGTCCTTTGCCCCATGGTTATGGTAGCTGTTAATAAACAGTGTATGTTCTCTTAACGTTGCCCTCATTTTTTTCCCCGTGTCAGGTAGCAGAGCTGAAGCAAGAGCTGAAGTTGAGGGCCTTGCCTGTCTCGGGCACAAAGACGGGTCTGATTGAGCGTCTCAGAGCTTATCAAGAGCAGAATGGTGCAGGCAGCCAAACAACCCCTGCTCCCAAGCCCAGCACAGCAGCTGTCATCCCAAAAGCTGCCGAAGTGGTGGTAGCCTTCCCGGCTGCCAGGCTGAGCACGGGGCCAGCCCTGGTCACCACTGGCATTGCACCAGCAGAAGTAGTCGTGGCCACAGTCACCGGTGGTGGCGTGATGAAGTTTGGCAGCACAGGCTCGACTCCTCCTGTTTCTCCAACTCCTTCTGAGCGCTCACAAATAAGCACAGGGGATGAGAACTCGGCCACCGGAGACACCTTTGGAGAGATGGTGACTTCACCCCTGACCCAGCTCACCTTGCAGGCGTCTCCAGTGCAGTTCCTGGTGAAGGAAGAAAGCTCCAAGTCTGCCTCCTGCAGCGTCAGTGCGGCGCCCAGGTCAGAGCGGTGCAGCACCGGTAACAGCAGAGATGCAGAAGTTAGGGACAAAGACCAGATGCTGCAGGAGAAGGACAAGCAGATTGAGGAACTCACCCGCATGCTGAAGCAGAAGCAGCAGCTGGTTGAGATGCTCAGACTACAGCTGGAGCAGGAGAAGCGCTCTCAGCAGTCATTACCGGCCCCAGCGGCTGCGGGAGAAGGAACAGCCCTTGTCTCCAACCCAGCAGCATTTGGCACCCAGGTGAAGAGTGAAAACGGTTTCCTGAGTTGCCAGTTTGCAAATCAATCCAGTGGCCAAACAGACCAATTCAGCCCTGCACCAACAGCTAGCCAAATGGACACTCCGAACCCCAGCCCAGTGCCAAAGAAAGCCGTGATGGTGAAGCAGGAGGTGCCAGCCGCGGAAGCAGAGCCGCCGTGCCAGTCCCACAGCCCGCGGCTTCTCCTTGGCCAGCAAGGGAGCGCCCTGAGCGACCTCATCAAGGGCACCCCTCCCCCCACCCTCATCACCGACTCCACAGGGACCCACATCGTCCTCACCGTGACCAAGCAGAGCGCAGAGAGGCAGGGCCTCTCGCCCCAGGGGAAGGCAGGGAGCAGCTGCCCGGCCTTGCAGGTAGGCAAGGGTTAGATCATGTATCAACAATTATAAATACTTAAAGGGGGGTTGTCAGGAGGATTGGGGTCAGTCTTTTTTCAGTGATCCCAGTGACAGGACGAGGTAATGGGCACAAACCTGAACATAAGAAGTTCCACCTAAACATGAGGAGGAACTTCTTCACTTTGAGGTGACAGAGCACTGGAACAGGCTGCCCAGAAAGGTGGTGGAGTCTCCTTTTCTGGAGACATTCAGAACCTGCTCGGATGCAATCCTGTACAACCTGCTTTAGGTGAACCTGCTCTGGCAGGGGGGGTGGACTAGATGATCTCCAGAGGTCCCTTCGGACCCCTGCCATTCTATGATGCTGTAATCACATCCCTGCTGAAAGCAGTTGGATTCCTCTCTCCATCTTCTTGCTCTTGTGATTCAGGTTACCACAGGATGACTTAACGTGGTAGAAATTCAACGCCGTAAATACTAAACTGGCTGAGTTGCTTGCCACGATGGCTGGTAGATCATGGCTTTGTAAAACAGAGCAGTGTAAGCAGCTCTTTAGCAAAAAGACTGGAGTTTGACAATGAGGAACTGTGTACAGCAACGCACAATTGACTGTGCACATCACAGGCTGTTCAGCATTCTTCCAAACACATGGTTCTGCCTTTTGCAGGAGCAGGAGCTCAGGCTTGGGAGGACAAGGGTTTGCTGCCACATTGCACTACTTTTTGAAAGAACAACTATGCCTGTGGTATTAAAAAAAGCGGAGTGTATTTATTTTACCTCTTGTTTTTTATTAGCGAGATTGTAGTCTGAGTGATAGATAGGTCACCTTGTGTGCCGAGAGCTGAAATCAGACCCTGGGAGCAGACATTTTGCTTTTTGACTTCTCTTTGTTTTAATGCATGTCAATATTTCAGTGTTAACAGAGTCTTTCATCAGAGATGATCTACTATTCCCCTGTTGGCATGAGCTCAGCACTTAACAGAAGTGTTCCAAGCATTTCTTCCAGGAAGGCATAAATATGCCCAGGTTTTATGACATAAGTCAAACCTCAGCATCTTCCATGGCATCAGAGAAGATTTTCATTCTCTGCTGCTACATTTCCTGCACCTTCTGCAGAGCAAGTGGCAGTGTCTACCATCAGGGACAGGCACTGAGCAGGCTGCATTTGCTGTGTAGCAGGTGAGATGCCAGTCAGCTGTCTAAATATCAGCATCCAGTCTCACCCTTGATACCCCAGGGTATCTAGCTCACCTGAACTCCAGCCACTGCTCCAGAAGGGCACAGGTCCTGTGTCAGGCCTTGAAAGATATCATGGGTAGCCTAGGGACTTAGACTGGTACTGCCTTCTCTTTTAGGCCTCTGAATCCCACCTCCATCTGATTTCTCTGCTTGGTGAAACAGAACAATTGACTGAATTTCCTAAAGAATAAAGAGCGGGGAAGAACAAATTTCATAAATCCTTTAAGAAACGCAAACCTCGCTCCGTGTTGTGTCTGAGAAATAGCTTCTCATAGATACCCTTTTCTTTCCAGAGAGTACAATCATCGCCCGCTAAAACTTCCAGCCAACCGCCGTGTCAGCTACCGGCAAGCACCCCTCAGCAGCCCACGCCGCAGCAGCAGCAGCAGCAGCAGCCACCCAGAGGACTAAACCAGTCTGTCAGAAAGGTAACTCGCTGCCTGCTCACTTTTCTTCCTTGTTTTTCTTTGCCTGCGGTGGGAAGGGGACACACATGCACAATCCTGGTCAGACACCATCATCACAGCAACTGAGATCTCACAGCAGCTTCTGCCACACAGTTTTTGGTTTCCAGCTTGAAAGTGGCAGCAGGAGTGCCTGGCACAGCCTCTCCATCCCCCAGCCTCCTGCTGAACTAGCTGACATCAAGAGCCCATCAGGCTGAACTCTGACAATTTACTAACTCCTGGCCTTTGGGCCCACCTCTGGGCAGAATTCCAGCTGGTGTTTTCAACAGGTATCATCTAATCATTCCCAGTGTAGTCAGAGTGGGCTGTCCGCTTTGCACAGGGTCAGTGCCTTGGTTTGCTTTGAGACCTTTGAGGAAATGCAGAAGGTGAAACAAAGGCACCTTTTCCCTCAGCCTGCCTTAGCTCGTGTGCCACCTGTAGTGACTTTCTTGAGCCTCCCTGTAGGCTCAGAAGCCAGCCCCACACCATTTTGTTTTTCTCAACACCTCCAAACCTGCAGCCCTGCTTCCCCAATGGTTTTTACAAATGATCCCTGAAAACTGGGAAAGCTGCCCCACCCAGTGTCAAAAACCCCCATATCCTCCCAGCACATCCCAGTGGCCTGTGCTACAATACCAGTTTCCAGCCGCCCTCAGAAAGAGCAGAACTGCTGTAGAGGCAAAGACCTGATCCACCTTTTAACTTTTCTAATGGGCAGTTGTGTGCTGATTCATCTGGAAAAGCTGAGTCACAAGCACCACTTCCTGCGATGCTTGGGGTTTCCTTTGGAGGTCTCTGGTGCTGCTGAGTGTTCTCTGCCCACCATCAGGCTGTGAAACTTGCTGCTAATGAAACTTGACTGTGTCCCTAAAGCAGGCATTGCAGAGGGAGGTGGGTATAAGATAGGTGCTGGATAAATTGCACTGAGTAGGCTGAACACAACAAGGGAAGTGCCCCTTTCTCCAAAGAGCCAGAGGAATCCCCCTGTTGGACAGATGAGGCTCTCCCCAACCAGCAGCAGCCCGGGGGCGGTTTGTGCTGTGGTTGGTTTAGCGTTAGAAAAATCAGCAAAACATTTCCAGCTGTGAGCTGGAGGGGAAATCTGTCTTCCTCCCCTGCAGCCAGGGCATAGTGCACAGAGTACATGGAAGAAGCCAGGCTGCTGAGAGCAGAGCACTGCAGCCCTCTGTGCAGCGCTCACCAAGAGATGGGGTGATGGTCTGTCAAAGCAGCTGTGAGACATGAGTTGATGTGGACTTTCCCCTGATCGCCCCTTCTGCCTTCATTCTAAACAGCCCTCATCGCAGCCTGGCTCTCCTGCGGCCCCTTCCCCATCCCAGATGGACCTGGAGCAGCAACAGCACACGTCGCTTTTTGGAACTCCTCCACCTCCTCTCCCTGTTCCCTCGGTCCCAATGAAAGAGCCACCAGGCTATGAAGAGGCCGTGAAGCAACAGCCAAAGGCCCAGGTGAGAGCAGTTTTCCTCCCTGGTTTCCTTGGAGAACAGGTGAAAAGTTTTCACTGTAAATCTGCTGAGATTCCTGAGCTGGGCCAGTAACAGAGCATGGAGACACACCTGCACCTTCAATTCCTCATAGAGAGTTTGGGGCAGACCCTAAACTACAGGTAGAGATCCCAAACCACTCATGCCCCGTTGAGTGTTAGCACAGTGGCTGTAGACTATACCTTCCCATCCAGTAACAGCCTGGGGTTAGGGGGATTCTGGTGGCTGTACCTACCTCCCTGTGCTCATTCTTGCCAGAAAACAGCTGCATCCTTGGGGCGAGGGAGGAGAGCCAGCAGCCAAGGGTGTTGCTGGAGGTGGAAGCTCCCCTGGTAAATAGGAAGCTAATCCTGCGCTTGCTCTCCCCAGGAGAACGGCTGTTCCAGCCAGCAGATGGATGACCTGTTTGACATTCTCATCCAAAGTGGAGGTAAGGAGGCAAAGCCAGCGTTTCCTGTCGTCTTTGGGTTTTAGCCTGGGGATTATAAAGCACTGAGGGGAGTTTGCCATGGCCTAGGCTTCTGCATCCCTGTCAGTGTCATTAAGGCAGCAAGGGAGGTGTCAGTCAGACACTAGTACAATACAAAGCTTCTTGGTGGTTCTGCTGCATCAGATCTGGGGACATCTCTTCTGCGCTACTGGAAAGAGCTAGAATTCCCCAGAGGAGGGCTGAGAACTCCCCATAGCCAGGCTGAGAACTCCCCATAGCCAGCCAGGCGTGGACACAGGATAGGTTCCTTACCCCTGTTAGTGGTCAGTGATGGTTCAGTCTGGGTGGTCCCTGTTGCTCTGGTGGGTGGGACCCTTCTGGTGTTCAGCCAGGCTTCTCCTCACCTTGGCCTGCCTGTTTCCTCCACAGAGATTTCTGCTGACTTCAAGGGTCAGTCGTCCCCACCTGGGAAAGACTCCCCCGTGGCCCCAGCCTGCTCCCCACCGCCCAGCAGCCACCAATCCCCAGAGCTGGCGGTGCCCGTGTCCTTGGGGCAGCCGGTGCCCGTGGGCCGGCTGGAGGACTTCCTGGAGAGCAGCACCGGCCTCCCGCTGCTGACGGCGGGCCACGATGGGCCGGAGCCCCTGTCCCTGATCGATGACCTCCACAGTGAGATGCTGAGCAGCTCGGCCATCCTGGACCACCCGCCTTCACCTATGGACACCTCGGAATTGCACTTTGCTCACGAGCCGTCCGGAGGCATAGCCCTGGATCTGGCCGAGGCTAACTTGGACAGCATGGACTGGCTGGAGCTGCCGGGGGGGCCTGTCATGAGCCTGGCTCCCCTCAGCACGGCGGCTCCCAGCCTCTTTTCCACAGACTTCCTTGATGGACACGATCTGCAGCTGCACTGGGATTCTTGCTTGTAACTCTGTGAGCAGAGACTGAAGGGAACGGGGGGGCACGGGCATGCGGGGGGAAGAGGCCAGTCAACCAAAAAAAGAAAAAAAAAAGGAAACAAGCTCCTAGCATTTGTACTCCTCCCCCAAGAGTGTCCTTCCTGCCGAAGCCGGCAGCGGTGGCAAAGGCAGATCTGCTGCTGGAGTGGACAGGCCAGGGCAGGGAGAAGGGCTGCTGGCAGGGGGGAGAAGAGGCTGCAGGAGCTCTGGGGCTGGTGGCCTCCTGCCCCCTCAGTGCGGCCTGACCCAGCTCGGGTGAAAGGAGCCGGCAGCCCCTCTTCCTCCTGGCAGGAGCAGTGATGGCAGCGCATGGGCACGGTGCTGCCGGGCCACAAGTTCCCTCACGCCTCGCAGCAGGACAGCATGACTGGGTCTGAGCCATTTCCAGAAGCTACACCCCACGTTTTGCCGGGATTGGCAAATAAATGGGGTTGTGCTCCCCCCAGCACATGTGGGTTAACGGTTACAGAAGGGGATTCTACCTCCAGAGCAGGACACACTGGTGGGAGCCCTGGCTGGGGTCTGGAACAGCTGCTCCCTGCTGTCAGGGGAGGGTCTGCTCTGCTGGGCTGTGAGGAGCTGGGCAGAACAGGCACCTTTTCCAAGTGTAGCCAAAGGGAACCAGGGCTCCCCACCTACCTGGTAACGGCTAAGCTGGTTTCCCAAATATTGCTGAGCTTGGCAGAGGCCTGCCCGCTTGCTTCACTCGCTTTGGGCTGCAAAACAGATTTTTTTAAGGTGCTAAAATCCAGGTCCTTTTATGTTAAATCTGTCTTTCACTGCCCCAAACCTCTGGTTGGGCCTGGAGTCTGGCCTTGAGGCACAACCTCCTGTTTGTCCCAGCTTCCACAGCACTTGTAACACCGCCAGGTGAGGGGGCAGGCAGCCTTTTGGCCTCTCCTGGGGAGCACGTGAGGGGCACAGTAACGAGCAACATATCATTAGGGGCCACAAGCAATCTGTCCCCTGCCCTCGGCTGTGCTGTTGCCTTCCTGTAGCAGATGCCCCAGTGGAAAGAAGCAGCTGGGGATGGGAGACCCAACAGACACAGGAAGGGGAAGTGGCACTGCAAACCGGGCATTGGGTGGCACAACACAGCTCCTGGCTCGGTGGTGCGACTGCAAGGGCCCTATTCTGGGGAGAAGCGGGAGCCTGAAAGCAAGTAATGGGCAGGTGACCTCTGCTCTGCTGCAGTGAAACCTCTGCTCTGCCTTCCCTCCAGCCCCACCAGCTAAAAGGCAAACGGCTGCTTGCTGTGAGCTGCTACCCTGTGCCCAGCTGCTGCCAGCAGGGCCCTGGGCTGGTGCCTCAGGGTAGGTGCTGACTGAGGAGGGGGCAGATGGGCACCCCAAACCCCCAGAGCCATGAAGATGCTAGGCCTTCTGCAGGGTTTTGTGCAGGAAACCCAGGCCTGTGGCTCTGCCTCGTGCCCTTACTCCTGTCACTTTTAAATCTCTGTGTTGGCAGTAACTCACCGCTGTACTTACCAGGTGAGCCATAGCCCTGCTGTGCCCCACACAGCCACCCTTGCTTCAGCCATAGGGTCCAGGCTGCTCGGGCTGAGGGAGGCAGTGGCTTTTGAAATCAAACAGTCTTAAGGTGCTGACCCTGCTCAGGCAAAGGAAGGATAAACTGGCATCCTGTTAATAGCTCCTTAAGGATGCTGTTCCCCCTTTCCCCCATGCTGGGCTGCAGTGCTACCTGCTGGGGAAGGGTGGGTGCAGGTGGGCACATGCTGCTCCCCTGCCCCTTTAGTACCTGGTGCTCTTCTCAGGGGGAGGCCTTGCTGCAGGGGTGCAGGTACCTCTGGTCCATGGCAGGGCAGGGGACTGCCAGCCCTGCAGGCCCTGCTATCAGCCACTAGCCTGGCAGCCAAGTGGGGTCACGCCTGTTTTGCAGCTGGGAGAAACTCCTGCTTTCCTGAGCCCTATTTGCTTGTTAACTGCATGGGGAGCCACTTTCTTAATCATTTGCAGGGGGAGCCTGCTGGCAGCTTCCTTCCTCTCTCCCCGCCTTCCCAGTTGTAAGCAAGTCAGAGCCTCTTATCTGCCTCTCTCAGTGTCCGGGTTAAAGGACATCCCCTTTTCCTCCCCCACCCCCAGCTTTCTGTTGCCCAAGCTACACTATCATGTCCTAAAAATCAGAGTAACTGGGACTGGTGGACACCCCCTTCACCTCCCTCAGCCCTCCCTCGCTTCCCTCCTGGTGCAGCCCTGCTCCATTTTGGTGGTTGTGCTGGGTGCGCTGGGAGCAGTGAGCGTGTTAGCAATCACTTGACAGAGCTCCCCTGGGGCAGCTGCCCAGCCATGGGACCAGGTGGGCACAGGAGGCAAGTGGTTTCTTAGAAGAAAAATATGGGGGGGGGGGGAGGATGCCCGTGTGTCAAGCAAAATCAGCTGCTTTTAGCCCACAGCGAGCAGTAGCCCGCACCAAAACCAGCTGTGTGATTACTTTTGTACAAATAATTACAAAGCTGCAACCAGTAAATAAAGAATGAAACTTAACTGAAGTGCAATGAGCTCCTAGAGGAAGGTGGGAGCACTCCACCCCCAGTCCTGGCCTAACCATGGTTCCTCGCACTGGGCCAGGCACCCCAGTTGGCAGAGAAATGCCAATGTCTGTTACTGATTTAGCCCTTCCCCAGGGCTGCTGGTGAAAGGCTGAGCTCACAGCTGCTCCCTTTCACCTCTACCCACCCACCTTCATTTGTGAAACTCTGTAGGAATTTAATTACATTCAATTTGCCCAATGTACTTGAAATTGGCTGATGGGCTTAAGTGCCCTCAAGGAGCCCAAATGATACAGAACCATGAGCCTCTCACCTCCTGCAGAACCCAGCTAAACCTGCCAGAGCCCCTCTGCACAGGGGGCTTGTGCCAGAGGAGCGAGACACCTGTGCCCAGGGGCAGAGGGGAAGATGGTGCCTCATCCCAGTGAATAGGAGAAAGTCTCTTCCCCAAGCAGTGCCCAGAGCAGGCTTGCCCAGTTCTCTGCTTTCTTACTATTATTTGTTTGAATAATAGTTCAATAGTTCTTTGTCAGAAGAGGTATTCCCCTGGACATACATTTTTTTGCACCCGTTGGGAAAAACAAAGTCTGATGTTCTGCCTCTACCTTGAATGTACTCCTGAATCTTTCTGCTGTAACCACTACTTGTTTGTAAGGTGTATTTGACAAGCGCGCACTCTCCCTTCCACTATGCAGCAAACGGCGAGGGGCGGTCACAGCACCGTCTAGAACGGATGGTGTTGGGGCATCGGATCCAGAGCGAGTATTCAACTGGAAAAGGATAAAAGTGACAAGTTAACGGGGGAGAGAATGGATCTTTAAATTGAATTATTTTTTCAGTTACAAATATTTGAAAAAAAAAAAATCCATTTTATTAAAAAAATTCCAAACAGCCACGTGCTCAAAAACTTCTCTGCTCTGCTGGGGGGAGGGCTCGGGGCCACTCTAACTTTTCCAGCTAAGGGTAGGTGAACCCTCTGGGTCTTTCTCAAATCTGAAAAAATAAAAACCCCTTGAGTGGTGGTGCCTCATCCCTTCTTAGCTGCGGGGAGATTCCCTCTGTGTGTGGAAATTACCTACCCTGCAACCAGAAGTAGGTTTTACGGTAGGAGAAGCCCAGGCAGCTTGGTCTGGACCCCAGCTGTTACAGGGGTGAGGTGATGCTGCAGCCTTCCTCAGCCAGATGTCAAACTAGAATTATTTTGACTGAAAATACTCATTTTCACACCAGTAAGTACGCTGCAGATTCCACCCTCCCATGAGCTTGGGCTTCTAAAGATGGGTCTCCCAGGGCCTGTGCCCTGTTACTGTCCTACTTCGCAGAAGAAACTCTGCTTTTCCTGGGGAAGCTTGTTAAGGTGAAGACAACACTGTTGTCCACCTGCCAGTCCCTCTCCCTTTGCTTGGGGCCCTCCCCTTGCAAGGCCCCTAAATCCCTTCATTTTGGGTAGTTCCTGCTTGTCAGGGCTGCCACTGCTCGTTGCACAACTTCTCCTGCCCTGGCCACTGCCTGGTCTGAGGCAAGGTCAGCGTGAGGAGCCCCCCGCGGTGCCAGCCCAGGGTGAGCAGAGGCCTGAGCCTGACACGCAGGAGCCAGCACAGAAACGGGGTTAATAATTATCAATTGGCAGAAACGAAGATTTAAATCTAGTCCCGGCCCTGTCAAAAAACCAAAGCCAAAGCCCAGCACTCTCCCAAGATGCAGTTTATTTACAAACCCACCGAATAAAGGAAAGTAAGAATCTAGTGTCATTTCACGAGTAGTTTGTGCTCACAGACAAGCGCTTTCAGTAGAAAGTCACAGACTCCATAACCAGAGCCACCACCACAAAGCAGCAATTCTCCACTCCTGACCTGCGTCCCCGCTGCCTCCGCAGGGCGAGGAGGACGAGTTAAATCTCCCTGAGCCAGCTCCAACCTGAACCCCATCCTGAGCTACAACGGTGCCAAAATATACACATTAATTTACAGCTTTTTGGTTAACAGTAAAAATCATCTCGAGACTAAAATGACAGCATGAAACACTCTTTAGGGGAGAGGCCATTGTGTCTGCTCCCAGAGGAGACAAGGCCCATCCCCTAAGGCCGTTCCAGTGGTAACAGCCCGGTGCAGTTGGGCACCTCTTGTCAACACCCCACACACCAGTGCCAGGGAGGTGGGATGGGGCTGGTGCCGGTTCCCTGGCTCAGCCCTGACTCCAGGTCAGAGGAGCATGTCCAAGCGGTTTGGGGTTCGCCATCCCTCTCCCCGCCGGAGGTGAGCCCTTGGCTGGCCTGGGGGGAGGATGTGCTACCCCTGTCCCCCTACAGCGCCGGTCCCTCACCAGCCCCATCCCACTTGCACCTGCAGTGCCACCAGCTCTCACGGATCAAAGCCACCCCACAAGGGCTGCCTCTTCCCCGCAGCCATAGCAGCAGACACGCTCACGCACCCAGGCAGCTGCTGGCCCGAGGCAGGGCTGAGGGAAGCAGAAGATGGGAGTGGCAGAGACGGGGAAGGCTGGGAGGGGGCACTTGTTTTTTGTGGCCACAGCACACTTGTCCCTTTGCAGCATCACCCTTAACCATCGCCTCCCTCGGGTCTGCAGCCTCTGTCCCAAGTGGCCCGGCCGCCCCCCGAGGGGGATTTTGTCACAGATACAAGTGGGTGGGGTGGGGGGAGGGCAGGGGGTGAGACATGACAGGGGTGGGGGAGAGGAGTGTGCGCCATTGAGAAGGTTCCCCAAGATGGGGTGGGGCGGGGGTCACCCATCTATGTCCCAGCTGAAGAGATGGTGCTTCACAAGCATGTCCTGCACCCCTTCCTTCAGTGGCTTCTTCTCCTTCTCCTGCAGGATGACACAGAGACCTGGGTCAGCGCGCCGCACCCAGAAAAGGGAAGGTTGTGTCTGAGGGCAGAGCCCAAGCCCGCCGAGGTCTCCAGCCTGCTCCACTTCCCAAGACATGTGGGGGGGGGGGGGGGAGGGCAGGGGGTGAGACATGACAGGGGTGGGGGAGAGGAGTGTGCGCCATTGAGAAGGTTCCCCAAGATGGGGTGGGGCGGGGGTCACCCATCTATGTCCCAGCTGAAGAGATGGTGCTTCACAAGCATGTCCTGCACCCCTTCCTTCAGTGGCTTCTTCTCCTTCTCCTGCAGGATGACACAGAGACCTGGGTCAGCGCGCCGCACCCAGAAAAGGGAAGGTTGTGTCTGAGGGCAGAGCCCAAGCCCGCCGAGGTCTCCAGCCTGCTCCACTTCCCACCTCCACGCAGCTGAACAAGGGAGAGGCCCTGCGGTTTGGAGAGCACCGGGGAAGGGAGGGGCCCTCCATTTCCCTCTGCCCCAGCTGGGCAGGGGCGGGCAGCACCCTCTGCCAGCGCTGCCCCACGGGCTCCCTGCACAGCCTGCCCACGCAGGGAGAGCGGCCCCATCCACACACAGCCTCTGGAGCCGGCTCACAAGGAGGCAGGGGACGGGCCGGAGCACACAGCTGGGAGAGGGGGGCTGTGAGCCAAGCCCACGGCTGAGAGAGAGGAGAGATGACCCTACTCACCTCCCTCTTTATTGGCAGCTCCCAGTCCTGGGAGAGGCTGAAGGCAAATTTGCAGAGGACTCTGCAATAGAAGAGAGAGAGAGAGATGGTAACACACAGGCCACACACCCACCCAGAGCACACCCCCAGCCTGTGCCCACAACTGCTGTCACCAGGCACACCACTCCACCGCTCCTCCGCTTGCCCCAGCACACCACTAAGCTCACAAGGATGGAAATCCTTGTTTGCTGGTGTAGAAAGGGCAGCACCAGCCACTGATCCTCTGTTTCCCCCTCCTCTTTGGGCTTCACATGGTGCCAGACCCAGGCTGGAAAGAGAAGCTCGGGAGATGTGACTCAAGTGCAACCCCTACAGAGCCTGACACAGCAGCGCAGGGAGGCACGGCCAGCCCCGGGCTCTGCTGGACCACAGACAGACTGGCTAAGGACTGTCCGCGGGCGTTGTGGGTTCCTCTCCAGAAAGCAGACTCCTGCCAGAGTCTGTGCACCCCCCTCTCTCTCTCCCTGGAGTAAGAGAACTGTCCTGACCCCCACGGACAAGTGCCACATGGGGACGGCAAGCTGAGCTCCACTGCTGGACCCGGCTCTAAACAGGGGCTGCTGGCACAGCCTCAACCCTCTCCCTAGGACAGGGATGCAGAGCTCAGATCTCCTGGCAACAAGCTCATCAGAGGCCCTCCACAGGAAGCTGGCTGGGAGAAATATGGCATAAGCCACTGCTCCTGCTCCCCACAAACCCAGGCCCAGCCATGAACCAGTCCCACTCAGTCCTTTGGCTGTGCTGAACCAGCACTGCCCCTGTGAGCAGCCACAGGACAGCACACCACAGAGGTCGAGGGGACCCCCTTTGCCCCACTGAGCAGCAGCACAAAGAGAACAGGACACCCCAAGGTGTGTACACACAGGTCTGCTCCCCACTACAGAAGCTCCCACCGGGGCCAGAGGCAGTCAGGTGGAGTGTCCCACAGGACAGGAGCTGGAGTGGTGGTGGTGGGAGGTTTGCTCTGTGGCTCCCCGGGACTGGATGTGGCTTTGCAGAGTGCAGGAGGGCCAGGAGCATGCAGTGTGGATGTGGGCCCCGGGATTCGAGCGATGTGCTTTGTGTGAGCTCAGCCACGTTCAGCCCCTAACACCACTCAACCAGGAATCAGCCCGTGAGTGACTCCTTCCTGGCAAGCAACAGCCAGACCGTGTCCCCAGCACATTCCTTCTTCCCTGCTTGGACTCACGGTGGCTGGCAGAGGACCTGGAGAGCAGAGGGGTGGAAAAGGCAGTCTCTCTCCATCAGAGTAGGTGCAGGGGCACAGCAGAGGGTTGCTGGCAGGCAGAGGCTGCCTGCTCGTCACGACAGCTCCACAGGAGCCAAGCTCTGTTCTTGATCAGGCAGGCACAGTGCATCGCATTAAACTGTCTAGACAGTTGCTGCTGCCTCAGCACACAGAAGGAAATCTCTGCAGCGGGGATGTCTGGGCAGCCCACGCTGCTCCTCACTGGAGAGGGTCCAAAGCCAGCCACAGTAAGAGCCACCTCCTGCAGGGGAGAAGGAAACCCACCCCAGACCCTGGCAAGGCCCATGGGGACACTCACCTCAGCTCACATTTGATCTGCACCCAGCCAGGACTGCGCAGGAACGACCAGGGATGGAACCACTTCTCTACGGTCTGCAGGCTTGAGCACAGCACCTCTAGCCACAAATGCAGCACCTGCTCACTGCAGCGATGGGATGGAGCCACATTACTCGGCTGAAGCCAGGGAAAGAAGCCCCCCATCCCTTTGTCTATTCTCAGCCCAAGCGTTGACTCCAGCCTACAGTCCTGTCCCCCCAGCAGGAACAGGATAATCCAGTAAACTCATATGAACCACTCCATGCAATGAAGCTACTTCGTCCAGCCAGGAGACAGGCCAGCATGACGAACAAGAAAGGAACAGACCCCACTCAGTGGCTGCAGTGCATGGGAGAAAAAGACCCTGTGGTCCAAGGTAGATTGAAACAACTGCTGCCCTTGAACCTGCTCTGCCCCCACCCAAGCTCCTCGCACTCCCCACCCTGCCTGGGGGTATCAGGACCAGACAACTCACTTGAGTCCAACACAGATGAGGGAACGAAGCTTCACGTCCATCTGCACGTGTGCAGCATCGTGCGTCATGTTCACAGCCTGAACCGCCTGCGGGGTGGGAAGACGTGGTTACTGCCTTAATGGGCAGCCATTTCAACAACGTGGCCAAATGCTGCCCTCCCCAGAGCTCCCCACCCTCACCCACTGCCACCTGCTAGCATCAGAGGCACCAAGCCTTCCTGGTGGCTTTTCCTTCGGCCTTCCCCAGGCACCTGGTGTCTTTACTACTTCCCATCACGGAAGGTC